AAACATGTACATGATTTTCGTCGATTTTACCAGAGCCTTTGACACTGTGAACCATGACCTCCTTTATGGCATCTTAGGGCAGACTCGGTTGTCCAGCTAGATTCGTTAGAATCATTAAGAAATTGTATCCAAATGTGCATGCAAGACTTGTCATCGACGGTGAACTTACAAGCCCTTTTGAATAACAGCGGTGTTGAACAAGGCTGTAAACTCGCTCCTACACTGTATGGCATCTATGCTGCTGTTTTGCTCTGACTTGTATATAAGGACATCAAGCACACTCACAGCATAAAAGTCAGGTTTCGGTATGATGGTGACTTATTTGACCTCAGAAGTGTGAAAAGTTAGACCAAAGTCCTCGCCTTATACATCAGAGAGGCACAATACGCAGACGATGTAGCAATTTTCAGTAATACCCCTGCTGGCTTACAAATCCTGTTCACCGCCTACAATGATCTAGAAAGAAAGATGGGTCTTTGCATCAACACCAGAAAAATTGAAACAATGTGCACTGGAACAGAAGCCGAACTTTTCATTGATCAAACGAAATTAAAGAATGTCAATAGCTTTAAGTATTTTGGTAGCTATGTAACAAATGACTGTTCAATGAAGGAAGAACTAACAGCGCGCATCCAAGCAACATCTTGTGATTTTGGCCAATTTTCGATAATAACTGAACTGCTCAGTTTGGCTTGCGATTTGTTATAGATAATGAAAAAGATTTATCTTTCCCGAAACAATAACAATCAATTTTGAAGAAATTTGTCAAAAAAGGACCAGGAGAGCACAAAGAAATTGATGCTACCAAGGAAATAATTTCGGTTTTTATGCTACCATTTGAGAGGTTTTGTCAAAAAGTACTACCATTCGAGGGTAATTTTCTAAAATTTTAGCGTTGGCCCCTCTTTGACCCTGACCGGACCCCCTGCCAGGCCATTATGGGAGTACCCCCTCCCAGGGAGTTCAACAGCGACATTGAAATTCTAAAGATAAAATGGGACAATCACATCAGCAACGAAGAAGTTTTCGCAAGCGCATGTGTGGAAGATATAGAAATATTTTAAGTAAGAAGTCGACTACGTTGGCTGGGCCATGTGTCCAGAATGGAAGATGATTGTCCAGTGAGATCCTTATTATATGATGAATTAACTGAAGGAACACGTCCTGTTGATCGGCCAAAACTTAGATATAAAGACACGTGTAAAAGTGCGATGAAGTGTGGAAATGCATTTGGACAATGGAAGACTAAAGCTGAATTCACACTGGACGCGTCGCGGCGCGGCGCGTCACTGAGCGTCATCGAGCGTCGCGTCATGCACTTTTTCATGCTATTCACACACGGTGCGTCATCGAGCGGCGCGTTTTCTGTTTTCCAATACTGTTCACAGCAAACTTGCAAAATTCTCGACAAGTTGTACTGGATTCCTTGCATTGTAAAATCAAGCCGGACATTTAAGTTTGCTACAGAAACGGATAAAACGGTAATCTGAAGCTAATATATCAAAAACAGCATCTTGGCCTGAATCGTCATCTTGGCATCGAGGTATTCTATGTATTTCAATTAGTCTCGTGCGGTTTCTTCGACATTTCGGTTCGAGAGGTTGGCCAATGTTTTGACAGGAAGACGATTCTCTTCAAGCATTCATTAGAGAACTGAAATATTTATTGATATTAAAGATTTTGAAGGTCTTACTACAATTAGCAAAATGTTTGGCTTTACGGATTCATGGGGTTTCCTTTCCTGCCAAAATTTGAGGGAAAATTAAACACCTTATTTTTATCAACACTCCCCAAAATTTCCATGTATTAAATCCCTCGGAAGTAAACCTTTGGAAGGTATTGAAAGCTCAACGGGGAGTGATTGAAATACTCTTTTTACCAAAACGGAACATATAATGACTCAACATCATTGTTGAATTGAATCGACGAGGCAACTTTATATCATCGAAGAGACTCTGAACACGAATAATACTGTTACTTATCATGAACTAATATAAATGCGATTTGTTTTTGTTACTTTCAGAATTTAGCCCCCCGATGCTTTAATCAGAGAGACTCATCAAAGTATATTCTACCGTACAAGCAATACAGTTTTATAATGGCCTATTTCAGAAACTCCTTGTTTACGTTTCTGGCTGTCATTATTCTCTAGGTTTTCTATTGTTCTGAAGCGTCACCGAGCGTCAAAGTTAAATTTATTTAACTTTGACGCTCGGTGACGCGTGGCTGAAAAAACGCGCTGCGTGCGCATAGCTGCCAAAAATGCTAACCATATTTGGTCAGCGTCATGACGCGCCGCGCCGTGACGCGTCCAGTGTGAATTCAGCTTAAGGTTGAGAAAAGAACTGAATGGAGACAGATGATTCGTCAAACATGCAACAAGGTGAACGAGAAGAGAGTGAATGCATACAAGAGACAAAGGGAAAAGAGGAGAAGCAAAGAGAACTTGGAACAATTAACTATTTACTTTACTTTACTGAGTATGTATTGATTTGTGTTTTAACCGCTTTCGGGACTAGGCTTATTATTATTATTATTTCATAGCATAGTTTACAGGCAATCGGAGATAAATATGGCTTTAAAAAAGCAAAGAATTTAAGAAAAATATTATTTTTTGTCTGACACCATTCGGTTTATAAAAGGTCAGAATAATTGCTGCTGGAAATTCTAAGCTAGGAAGCGTTCGAAAGTTATCGCTCACCAAAGCTTCCAGGTTTTACAACATATTTTGATGAGGAAAGTTTACCTTTGTCAAAACTTAATGTGACCAGAAAACTCTAAAATAATTTAATTGATATACTTTGCATCTGAAACTAGTAATTTTAGTGGAATAAGATAATTAGCACCAGAAGAGTTGATGAAATCAAAATTTGAAGGCAGACTTTTCAATTTCTTAAAACTTGAAATAGATTATGATTGTTGTGTCACAGAATTATGAAGATTCACAAGAAGGATATGCCTAAAAGAAGATCCAAAGATATTATTGCAAACACACTTGTCTGAAGAATAGACATCCTTGCATAAGTTTGAGCTAGAATCTAGTTGACAAATTCATTCTGCATATTTGTGTTCATCTTTAATGAAACTTTAATGAAAATGACTTTTTATCTGACGTCAGAAGTACCAACTTTGACAATGACTATCAAAGCGCTAATGATGCAGATGAGCATCTTACCGGAACGTTTCGTACGCTAGTTGACAAACATGCCCCATTGAAGACTGAGAAACTCAGGGGAAACATACCCTGGGTACCAGACTCACTATATAAAATAATAGAGAGTCTGGTCTAGTGCGCCCCATTCTCGTTCTGGTGAACTTACTTGAAAGAACTGAAGTCTATTTAACAGACTAGGCCTGTGAAACAAGACTGTCAGATAAATAATAAAGAAACTCAGTAGCCAGAGGAGTTTTGGGAAATCTTAAGGCAAATGTGTTTTATTTAGTTCTTTAAAGTCGACATTCTTAATAAAGTGGTAATAGACTTTTCTGCCTCAAGATAACAAACAAATCAGGTTTAAAACGCCATTTGGCAGCAAAAAACATGTGCGAAGCATGAAATTGAAGTTAGCACAATGCAGTTATTAAATGTTAATCATTATCAAATTGTTAATCAAAGTCTTTTGTAATTTTCCTCATAAATTGTGTGTACTTTCAACGTCTACTTCCTAACTGTGAAGGCAGCGCGCTTGGACACCGCGGCGGTTAGAATCATCACGTTGGAAGGTCACCACAGCAAATATGGGCAATATGACAAGCGAAGCCCCGTATGCCGGGCGAAATATTAGCTATAACTGATTTACTTATGTTTGTTGTTGTTTGTTCTCGGCGCCTTGCGGTGTTCCTTATCTACTGCATTTCACTACAAGGCCTAATTTCTTTGCAACGAGAGGCACAGCCTAGAATATCAGAGACTTTCCAAAGCCAGTTGGCAATATGGCGAAGGTGTCTCTTCTCTCTACAAACAAGGCTTTCAATGCTGTTCTGTGATCAGTTCCACAACATGCGGAAAATATTCTTTGAGTACAGTTTTAACAGCATCTTCAAACTCAATCGTTACGATCGCTAGCATTTATTTATGTTCTGTTCTGTTCAATGTTTTATACCAGAGCTAAGTTTATTGTTTCGCTGTGACCTTTGAACGTACAGAAATCTGTACACTCGCTCCTGATTGGTTAATATCAGCACACCCGAACGAGAATGGGGCGCACTAGACCAGACTCTCTATTTTATTTCATATATAGTGAGTCTGGTACCCAGGGTAGGGGAAACACTGCCCCATTTATGAATCCGGATCTACGGAAAGCAATTTATACCCGATCTCGGCTTCATAAAAAATCTAAAGAGGCACCCTTCCAAGGCTAATAAAACCAAGTATAAAAAACAGCGAAACCTGTCCGTTTCACTAAGAAAGAAGGCGATCAGAAATCACTTTAAAAATGCAACCAAAAACGGTCTACTTCAAATAAAGGCTTTTGGAATCTTGTCAAACCATTTCTCTCAAATAAAGGGGGGTTACACGATAACGACATTACCCTTGTTAAAGAAGATAGAATCATTTTTGAAGATAAAGAACTTGCCGAAGCTTTTAATCACCATTACATAAATATCTTAGAAACATCTTCTGGAAGAAAACCCACCAGTATTGCGAAAAACGCACCTTTTCATGACGATAGGCATAAAGTTAGACTGATTCTACAGGAATACCAAAATCACCCTAGTATATTAGCTATCATTCAAAATCGAGAAAACTCATTTGGTACATCTTCTCTTCATGAAGCTGAACCAGACGATGTTTTCAAACTCTTGTTTTCAATAAATGATAAGAAATCGACCGATGAAGACAAAATACCCGCTGGACTTGTCCGTCTAGCTGCGAAGGAGCTATCCATTCCCCTAACAAAAGCTATAAACACCAGTATCAAAAATAGCAGATTTCCAGACAGTGGAAAACGGGCTGCAGTCACACCTCTCGACAAAGTTGAACCTGTTCGAACAGTAGAAAAAAGTTTCCGTCCAGTTAGTGTGCTTAGCACTTTTTCCAAGCTATACGAAAAGATAATAAAATATCAAATTAGTCCTCATCTCGATAAAACCCTGTCCGCGTTCGTTGCTGCCTACAGGAAGGCTTAAAGTACACAGCATATCTTAATTAAAATGCTTGAAAACTGGAAAGTCAAATTGGACAATGATTTCATTGTCGGAGCAGTACTGATAGCTTTATCAAAGGCCTTCGACAGTATTCCGCATGACCTTCTTAATGCAAAACTTCATGCATATGGCTTTGATGAAAGCTCTCTAGTCCTTATTTACTCCTATTTAAAAAGGCGCTTACAAGCAGTTCGAATAAATGATACTTACAATGATTTTCAATCTGTTTTATCAGGGGGACCGCAAGGATCAGTCCTTAGCCCTATTCTTTTCATTTTCTACATTAATGACCTGTTTTATTTCATTAAAAAGGCTTCTCTTATAAATTACGCAGATTACAACACTTTAACACATTTTTCAAAAGACCTGCCTCAATTAATTAACGTCTTGGAAAAAGAAGCAAGCATCGCCCTTGCCGGGCTCAATCAGAATGAAATGATTGCTAACCCAGAAAAATTTCATGCTCTTCTCGTCAGAAAGGATAAAAAAAGTACCATTGGACATAGCATTTCTATTCAAGGGAAAACTATAAATTCTGAAGCTTCAATCTAATTGCTTGGCGCAACTATAGATCACAAACTGAAGTTTGACATTCCCATATACAAACTTCGTGTCAAGACAGCAACCAATCTAAATGTGCTTAAAAACCCAATTTGTCGATTGCATTTGAGGAGAAAAGGTACTGGTCCAAAGCTTTGTCTTTTCTAAGTTTAACTACAGCCCTTTAGTGTAGTTTTTCCCCTCTGTTAGATCCACGGAGAAGATCGAGAAAATACAGGAACGAGCCTAACATTTTCTTTTATGATGATGATTCATCTTATGGAGATCTAATTTGCAAATCACAAAAATGCACAATGCATGTAAATCGGCAAAGGAACCTCTGTATTGAAATTTTCAAAATTGTGAAAAGGTTAAATCCCGAAGTTATGCAAAATATATTCGAACTAAGAACCTCTGATCGACCCTCACGTCGTCCACAAGACTTACAGCACTACCGGCCCAACCAAACAACTTTCGGTACAAACAGCCTCAGGTCCCTCGGACCACAAATTTGGAATGGCTTACCACAGGAAATAAAATCTGCAGAAAATCTGATCCAATTCAAAAGATTAATTAAAAGCTGGAACGGGGCAACCTGTACATGCAACGAATGCAAAACTTAATGATTTTATTGTAAATTTGTATTTAAAAACTATTGAAAATTGCTAATTTAATTTGTTTATTTTGTAAATAATCGAATTAGACAAGTTACGGTTGTGTAGCTTAAAATTATGTATATTCGATTTAAAATAAGATTACAAACAATCTTTCATTACAGTTTCACCATAATACCCATGATCTGTTATGCAAAATCTTCAAAAGTTCGAAGGAAATATTTCGCAAGTCAGATTTTTGCTTGATATGTTAACAGTTGTCAGGGATGCAGCCCTTTTCTACCTAAGCTTGCTAAGAGAAGTGCTTGCCCCACGCTGGCGTAAGGAAATCTACCTAGAGGAATAAAGACGTGCCAGAAAGACAGACAAGCAAATTTTTTATTTCCCTTATTAAAAAAGATGATCTAGTGAGAGCAAAATTAATCACTTTCTCATTATTTTCATGATAAGAAAATCATAATTGAGGGAGATTGATAAATTGATAGTTTGATAAACATCACTGACGTAAAATGAACAGCAAAGTTTGAATATCAGCAAAGATCTTGTTAGTCAAAGATTTGAAACACGTAATGTTAAAGAGATTTGTGTTTCTGAAGTGTGCATTTCATTGGAAAACCTGAGCAAATTCGATGCAATAAAGAGAATTCTTTTTTAGAAAATTGCGTGCAATCAAGCTAAAAATGACGCTCACAAACTTGACATGGCCTGCTTTAGAAATGCTTGCATCATTTCTGATCTTGAATCTGCACAGTATGGCAGCAAAGGGATATTTGAAATTATAAGAACATCAAAGCATCATGTAAATCATCTTTGAAACTAGAATTGATAATCCATTCTATGTAAGTTTAACAGAATAGAAAAAATCATTTTTTGTCCTATGTTTTCTGCCCCAAGATCTTCAGTTTTTGCATTTCTGAAAAGGAAACAAAATCGTAATTGCAACCCAGTGATGAATTTAACGAAGAGAGAGAGAGAAACTTTATCTACGACATTTTTACAAATGACAACAGCAGCCTCGGAATAAACATCGATCTTTATTTTCTGCTACTGTTTATTAGGAAGATAATACATTGTTCAGAACAGAGGCGGATCCAGAGCAAATTTGAAGGAGTGGCAGTAAGTAATGGGGGCGTTGAAAATTTTCAGAAATTGATGACGAGTGTACGCTGTATACAACAATTTCGGACCCTAACTACTGATAGAAGGCTCTCTATTCCTTTGCAGGGGAATTATCACAATATTTGTTGTATACTTTGAGGTGCTCCTTGAAGTAAATTGACCGATATGTCTCAGAAACTTTTTTACCCGAGTCTCATTCTTCAAAAGAGGCGCATTATTTCCAAAAAGGGGCGCCAGACTTGCTTCAACTCGCTGAGGGAGGGGCAACTGCCCCTAGTTGCCCCCCCCCCTAAATCCGCCACTGCTTCAGTATCAGGGGTGTGTGCAGACAAATAGTCCCTTACCCTCATGCAGTACCTCCTTTGTAAGGGGATTTGGGTAAGCCCTACTTTTGGATAGGGCCAGTTTCAAAACTACCTTGCTCTTGAAATTAAGTCTGCTTAAGTATTCTCCAAGAATAGTTCTGAACTGTGAACAACTTTTTCGATGAAGGAAACTGCCTAGTAATCAAGAATTTCTTCAAAAACTGGCCGACAGGCAATTTTTTTGCAACATAATATCTACATGCAGGTAGATTTTTAGACAGGTTTTAAGAAAGTGCAGTCATTTTCATTAATAGTTAGTGTTCCGTCTTTATTCTATAATTTTAATGCTCTTATATAAGCCTTTTGTGACTAATGACAGTAAATTTAACTTTCAACTCAAAATTTGTGCTTATCATTGCAAAATTCCACTTTATCAATTCACAAATTGCTTTTCACTGAACGTAAAATTGAGCATGGGTGAACTTCAGAATAACTATCTTATGCATTTTGTGCTTTTAGGAAGTTTGGTCATTTTTTTCGAATCCGTATCCCTAAAACTGGAAAATTGATGTAACACAGTATTTCGTATGATTTCTCAGTTTATTTTAAGATTCAAAGTTCTTGTTGAGTAGGACACATCATTTCTTTCAAAACAAAACAGGCTGCAACGAAGAAATGCATCAACGTCGGGAAAACCAATCCTGTTACCCTCGTTGTGCTCATAGTTTGATAAATAGGGCAATGACGCAAATGAAAGTAGTCCTAGCCAGTCATCCAACGCACAGGGATTTCGATTGATTAATGGAGTCTTAATCTGAAATTGGCTTAACACAAAGCTTAACCCCTCCCAACTAAGCTAAATGGTCCCTATGTTTTATTATGATTTTTTTCTTTGAACTATCCTTCGTTCTATTTTTAAATTGTCTAGTCAATTATTAAATAGATTATTTGAACTCATTCCATAAAGGTAGTAAGACTGTTTAGTCAAGGGCCCTTTAGATGGCTGCACAGAAAGCTTGTTGTGAAGAACCTTTCTCTTTATTGTTGATCGCAGTTTTGTCAGAAAATGCCTTGGAAATGAGTTGCAAAGCCTAAACCTGCGGGATATGGTATTGCTTTCGTGACTGCGTTCTTTCGTGATTATCTCTGTATGTCCAGGGTTGTCGGGTTGGTCACCAGAAGCACATGCTACAAACAATTGGGACAATGCACTTTTTCTAAGATGTACCCTTTCAGTGATTCTGGAAAAGTGTCCCTATTCTGGGACGTAATGATACTTTTCACAGAAGTGGCTCTCTTGAGAAAATGTTGAAACTTGCCCCAGTTTGCTGGAATATTGTGCTCCTTTCTACATGTGGCCCTCTACCTTGAAATGCTTGCGATGTCCCAATACATGTAGCAGAATCTTATGTAACAACAAAACAACGTGTTTTCTTAAAGTTGTTTCTTTTTGTGTCTAGAGTTTAAGAAACAAAGGAATGGAGAGCTGAGCATGCAGTGTACGTAGATAAATTAAATTTCTTGTAATAAATGCATGTATATTAGAAATTTTTTAACGGCAAATCCCTTTAATGAAAATGCTCTAAAAATAGGGATATCAATTTCATCATTTTATTTTATTAAATTCTTCATTCAATTTGAATTAATTCTCTGTCCTTATTATCAACTGCCCTCCAGCAAATACTGTCTTCAAAGGGCCTTGTTCCTTTCCAAGGATGTTTTCCATCTCGATGAAAGCTTAAGTATTTTCTAGCAGGAATATGCTTTTTAATACCCTTGACCATTCAACCTGCATATCCCTTGTAGTAACTGATTAATTTTCTCAAACAATCATTATCCTATACCAGCCCGATACATTTTCGCGAGATATATCTGAAAATAAGCCACAATTAACCTTAGACCATATAATTCAGCAGAATCGATCATTAGAAATATGCAAAACTTTTGAAGGGCTTTTCAAATATTTGAGATAATTAAGAAGAGTTATTTAACTATTCCCACTGTTGCCAGGCTTTAAATATTTTGAAAACTATGAACTTATGAAATATCAATTTTTCTTCAAATAGAATTTTGAGGATTTAATGCCTTAAAGACTTAGATATTTTAAAAATTTCTGTTATACCATCAAGCTTTGTGCAAAGTACAGTTAAATTTACGCCCGAGTCATGCGACGCCAGATTTCTTGTATTTCAATTTTGTTTATACTTTCTATTGAGGTTTAAGCTACTCATTAATGAAATGTTTATTCTTCATATAGTCAAATCATGCACTGATGCTATCGACGAAGAAGTTTGCAAATCTTTTGAAAGACTCTGCGATGTGAACAGTTTCTTGAAAGAAAAATGTCGCAAAACCTGCAAGCTATGTCGTGAGTAAGCTTTCATGTGTACAGTGGCGGTTTTAGGGACTGTGGGGCTTTAGGGATCTTTTTTCTTAGGTGTAGTGCCCCTTTTGGCTACCATAAGGGCGGGGCTCGGGGCCATGGCCCCTCTGGACCCCCATTAAAACTGCGACTGGATGTGTACTTTGTTTACATTGAGAAAAAAATTGATGAAAAGAAATTTGAAAAAAAGAGTATATTCCTTAAGAAGTTATTAATGCTTTTAACTTATGAATAGCTATAGTTTAGTTATTTAATAAAAGATAATAATCATTTGAGAATTATGTTGATGCTATTGAAATAAATGAGAAAAATTAATGACACAAACAAATATTAATTTATGACACATATTCCAAACATTATAGTGTTGAAAATGTACTGTATTTATAAATGATTTTTCAACTATTGTAGAAAAGGCGTCCGTACAGCCTAAGTGTGACGAGTCTGCCTATGGATGCTGTTGGGACAATGTTACGGTTGCAATTGGTCCACAGAAGCTCTGCCCACGTAAGAACGTCCTTATTTTTGTTGATAACAAGAATGCTCAATTAAATGACTCCTAGAGCTCCAAATTATTTGTTCTGATAATTGCAGTTCTTGCTAATCAACTTTTGCTATCAAGCCCTATAAAATATTTGCTTTTTCCGATTTCAAAAGGCTCATTTTTCTATTTATACAAAAACATGCTATTTACAACAAAACTTTTTGTGTTTTCTTTTTTCAGTATTGTAGGGTCCTTTACAAATTTAAACAATCCTCAATAGTCTTTTATATGATGTTGCTATCCCCCCCCCCCCCCACTGCTAATCTTATTTCCCATGGGTAACAGGTTCAGACAGAACTCAAGCGACTCGCCCCTTTTTCGCCCCTCCTTTTTATTAAAACCCAAGAGTAACATCGATTTCCAAAACCTTTCGTAGAATTATACTTGCTTTCTTAAAATTTCTGCACTAGCGCCACAAATCAAATTTGTTATACAAGGCAAGCTATTGAAAAATCTTTATAATGACAAAGAAAACAAATTTTGTGCCATTAAGGTTTGTGTATTCATTTGGGAATCGTTTCTTTGATGCTTGCCGTAATAAGTCTTTAGGGCAACTAAACTTTTCCCAAGGGCTTTCCTGACCCTACCCTTGAGAAGTAAAAAAGTGGGGGAGATGGGGGAGGGGGTGGGGGATTGCTCAGTGGTTAAGACCGTGGACTACAGATCCAAGAGCCTGAGGTTCGAGTTTCTGCCAAGAACAAACTTTTGCCACGAGTAAGGAGAGTCACCAGCTCTCTTCAACTCCAGGCGTAGGAATCACGAGGTGTGGTCACGTTGAGAGAAAGAGCCAGTACACTGCTCGATAAACAAAGCTTTTCGGCGTTTTAAAGCTATATTTTGAAGCTATATAGATATAAATGCAAATAAATGAATGAAGAAAAAAAGAACCAGTATTTCTTTGTTGTGGTGATTCAAAAATATTCATGTTTTATCAAGAAAATCAAAGTTTGGTCCTTGCATTATTTAAGCATGCCAAGGAATACAGGCAATATCTAAAAATCTAAATCTAAATCTAATCAATATCTAATTCCTTTCACTGTTTTTAATTTCTGATTCTCAAAACCCACTTTCTTCTACTCTCTTCTACTTTCTTCAATTTTTTATGTTTTAGCTAAACATCTAACATAAGCATCATAATTATTATATTTCTAATAGTTTAATTGTTTTGAAGGTCGAGAGAGACTGAAGATTTTGACAAATGAAATTAATAAATAAATATAGAGGTAAACGTAAAATAGGAGTGGTTGTCGAAATTCCTAAACATTGCTACAGAAAATTGAAATGTGTTTTTATCCATATCGATTATAAAAATTCTTCGATATAATGATTTTTGATATGATGATTTTTGATATGATGATTTTTTTCGTCCTCAGCTTGCATCGACCGCAACAAGGAGGAATGCAGTGGATTGGCTGGCAAATGCGGAGAGGCTGATATTAGAAGAACTTGCCCAAAAACATGCAAAGTTAAATGTGGTAGGTATTTCTGATGGAAATAACAATTAAACTTCATGCAATTTCCATAAATATTGTCTTTGTAAAATATGATGAGTGTGCAAAATATGATTTAGGATAACAAAAGAATAAGTTTAAGCAAAACTGACAATTATCAAATGATGATAACAAAGGATCAACCTTGTTAAAACGTTAAATGAGATGTTATTTAACAGCTAATAATTCATTAATGTAGAAACAAAAGGACTTGTAGAAAAAATTTAGAAAATGTAGAAAAGAATTAAGAGGATTTTCATGTTTTTTATGTTCATTTTGGAACAAAAATAGGTAAAATAATGAACGATATCGACAATCTTTGATTCGAGTATGCAGAAGGTTATTTATTTTTGTAAATTGGTATAGTTTCTTTTACTTTGTATGTTTTCATAATTTTTTGTGTATTTTTGCATAATTTGTGCACCTTTGTATTCTTTGCATAATTTTGCATGATCTGTTATTTTGCGTTATTTTATTTATGTTACTTATGTTATTTTATTATGATTGCATCTTATGCTCTTGTTGTTTTTGCATCTTTTGTATATTATCGTAGATTTTGTAGGTTCTCATAACTTTTACAATATATTCGCATTTTTGTTACATTTTCTTAAAGTGTACTCGAGCAAGAATTCAAATGACTTAAATGCTACGTCGAAAGGCCAATATTTAAGAATTACTGATAATCGACAATCGATGCATATCTTCGTCAAGATAGCAGAAAAATTAAATCTTTTTTCTTTCATTATTGTATCAACCTCGACAGATCCATTGCAAGAAATAGAAACTCATGAGCAAGCCGCGTTGCTGAAACATTGAATTTACCGTTTTATATCTGAGAGTTATTGCTAAAATCTACTTTAATTTATTTCCTTGATAAAATTTAGGATAAGGAGTCTTTTCTGAGCTAAGCCAAATGTGGTGAATTTTCTTGTTTAAACTGATAAGATGGAATCTCTTTTTTAATTAGAAAATCTTTGATTTGGATATAAAAGATCTACTTTAAATTTGGTTGCTAAATTTGCCTAAGAAAATTTTCATTGCCTTTTCAACTGCTAAAATCGATAAAAGAAAAAAGCAGCCACAAAGATGAATAATTTATTGTGAAGTTAATTGAAAAGCATCAATGCAATTTGAAATAGTGTTTTAGGGCATGTCATAATAATTACTAAAATGAGATAGAACAAACAAATGAGCAAAAATATGTAGCATGTAATAGAAATCTCTTTGAAGGAATTATTGGTTTCGTTTCATCAAATAAAATGGCTTATCAAGCTCGTCTTTTTTAATAGAGGTTGGCACAGTTTTTAAGTTTGAATGATAATGGACCTCCCAGAGAGGCTGATAAAGTCTAATTCACTGAATCTTATAACATATATACATTTCAAGACATAGTATTAGGTTTAGCTTAAAGCTGACAATTGATGCTATGATCATTGCCAAAGGTACTTGAAGCACCCGGCAATATGCGTCGTGTTTTCATATTTTTCAATTATTTTCCCGAACACTCTTACGTTTGCCTCCCCCCTTTTCCCCTAAAACAACGTGGATGATTTAGTGTTCTTGTGTTCTTTCGGAACATTATTCTGACGTTTTATGCTCTGAGGAGTGTCAGACAAAAAAGCTTTTAGTATGTCGTAAAATGTTTGCTTTTTTCGAAGCCATTTTCAAATTCTGTACCGCAAAAAAATTGTTCTTTTTTTCTAGAAAAACAGCATTGTTAAAGGAAGGGGGGAGGGAGAGGGGGTGTCTGAATTTGCACTTGAACACTGACATTGGTGAAGCGAACATTTGACAGGCATTGTATCTTTCAATAAATATCAACCTGCCCCCCCCCCATTGCAGAGCTTTTTAGACCATTGGCATATTTACCTTTGATTTCCCATTCTCTGTCTAAATGAATTCAAAATGAATTAGAAAATGCTTAACGTTGCACTTCGTTTTCTTATCAGCACCTTCCGGTGTATTATTTTGCCCGAATCTCTCGCATTTCAGAAGGCAGGGATAGTAAAGAGAAAAATAGGAAAAATGTAACTCGTTAGAGACTGTAGTAGATCACACACATCAAGAAACATTGACTTTTCAAGTAGGCCCTCTGGAGTCTAGAAGACATTTTCAAGATTCATTTTGGCGTGTTGACGGGAGATAAAACTGCAAAGAAATAGTCGTTTATAAATTTGAAAACATTTCTTTAAGATCTTAAATTCAATGGTGACCTGACGTTCTTTACGCTACAGGTGCTCACAGCAAAATGGCGGCTATTCATTATTGTCTAAAACTCCTTTGTGGCTGGAACATAGTGCTGAAAAATCACATTCGTTCAACGAGAAAACATTTCACAAATGAGAATGCTTTGAGAGGAAAATCTATCAAGCAGCTTCTGCAAAAATTATATCTTTCATTTATTAATATATTTCGCTTCTTGCGAAAGCATTTAAAAGTAGAATGCACAGGCTTTTGTATAAGAAACCGTCTTTAGGAAACCAAGCCTTGAAATACCGAAAAATTAAGATACTATTACCATAGTACCGAACTTTCTCGATTAAATCCTACGATGCTATTATTAATTTCAGCACTTTTTGGGGGCGCCTGTTTGAGTGGGGTGCCTATTCGAGGGGACGGTTAATTGGAAACTTAATGTAATTAAAAGAAGAGAGACTTCAAGTCATCTAAAAATGAAAATTTTATAATGTCAAAGGAGCAATCTCAAAGATATATGTACCAACAGTTTTAAGAGTTGCCAAGTCGCTGCCATAAATCGAGGATCCATTGCGAAATTATCCGACGAGGAAGTGGCCTCAAGTTCCCTTTAGCAGTCAATTCGTGTGCTCCTTTGGTCATCCGCGTATCATTTTTTATAATTATCACATACGAGAGGGCGCTTATTCGAGGGCGGCCCTTTATAGAAAAAAGGTACTGATCACCCTCTACATTAGGAAGCTACTTTAAAATCTCTCTTCTAAAGATGGAGAAAAAACTATGTATTTTGAAAACAAGACAGACATTTCCTTTTCAACTGACATATAGAAAAGGTAAGGATAATAGTAATTGAATGCCTTGCGACTGATAAGATGAAATACTGTCAGATGGTATCTCTCGTGCTGCTACTTTTAACACAAAAATAGACGATAAAAATAAAGAAACCGAGAATTATATCTGAAAGCGAATAACTTATTCCTCACATAAATCCTCTTTTCCTATTATTGGTTCTAGAATATTTCGTCATCAACGATAGAGCTTTTCAACTGTTGTATTTTTATTGTAGAAAGATGCGAAGATGATGAACACCAGGCGGAAACATGTCCGTTGTTCCGGATGATTGGCGCTTGCGAAACTGACCAGAAGTTGATGAAAAAGTATTGCAAAAAGACGTGCAAATTTTGTTAAATGGCAAGTTGACAAAAAATATATTGCAAAAATTTGTGTAAGCTGTTTTGGGGCAATAAAGACCAAAGTAAACTGCACCAACAAACGAAGAACAGGGAATTCGAAAAGTTATGTAGTTGGAAGATATTGATCCGTTCAAGAAACTTATCGCAGATGAAGCGGCTATGAGTATGATGCTAATATGTAAGATGTTTATTTCAAGAGACTCCATTTTGTTTATGGTATTACTTGGCCTGAAGGGACTTTTTGATGCTCAACAACGATTCCTAGATTCAATATTGCCGACCAACATCGTTGTCGTGTTTGCTAGCACCCTCTTATTCCGCCCTTTTTACCCTCTTTCATGAGTTTAAAAAATACCACGCGGATAAATATACGCAATGAATGGAATACAATGACTAAACCAATTAAATATCAGCCAGCATGTCATGTGACGCAACGACGCAAAACAGGGCTTCCTCTCAAAATGAAATAAATGAGAAAGGAACGGGAGCAAATGAATGAAGAAACATAACGAAGCATTTCAAAACAGAAGGTTTGGGGATGAACAAGCGTCGGCGTACAGCAATGCGTGGATTTGACTAGTCTGCCATCATAGAAAGTGGCGTAGTAAAGAAATAGTCTCTTTTCCACAGTAAGAGCAAGCAATTTTGGCAAGAGCAATTGGAATTTTACCCAGCCAACTGTGCAGCGTAAAATGTTGGTGGTCCACATGCCATACTTGACCTGTCGGTTTTGCTATCAAATATTTCTCTTTTTTGTTTATTTCATCCACTTAGAGTTGATAATTATTTGATAATATTTACCAAGTAAAAAGAGGGATTATATAAAGAGGCTCTGTCATTGATATTTAATAAGACTCGGATATAAATACGTGTCATTGTAATTAAAAATAACGGTATCTTATCATTTCACAGTGACCCAAAAAATGCATCAATTTTGCATTCACTATCTCATTCATAGAATCTTGCAATCGCTTTGACCCAGCCCTCCACTGCTGTTACGTAAGCGTACGCTGCTGCGCAAGGGATCCTTCTATGTACCTCATTTTTTCATTTCATTTCAATATAAGAAACTTGCTATGAGGAATGAGAAATTGGCGTATATAGAAAATTTTAAGGAAATAATTACTAGAAGCAAAACATTAACAAGCAAGTCAATTTTACCAAAGTAGAGATTTAGATTTTCATTCAAGCGATTCGCCTGCAACTGCATGACATAAGAATGGAAAGATAAACAAGAAACTGTTCTCTTCAAAAGTGTCGAAAATTTCGTAAATAATCGCTCATCCCAAAGTTGCTTATCTTTCCATCTTGGAATCTCGATGTAGAATTTAATGGCATAAAATTCAACAACCTTTTGAGAAACAAGTATTAATATTTGCCGTGGAAGTTAGAAACTAGGATGTCAACAAATGATAAAATATCTGGGTAGGGGAATTTAAGGAACTGTAAAGTTTTTGTAGCAGGATTTGTTGATCGTAACAAACCTGAGGCATGAAGATTATTGTTATTGACTTAGAAGGCTTATCAAAATTAAGTACATTATCATAATCCTAATAGTTTGAAGAAGAGGTGTGTTCCACTACTATCATTTTTTCAGTATTACCCAGTGGCAGACTGGCTACCATTCGACCCACCGGGAAAAGCAAGCAAAATGGCGCCAATAGGTGCTAAAGTTTATTAACTTTTGGGCTTGTAAAACAGGCCCGGAAAAACTTTGCCTTAGCTCATCAAACGGTTATATATAAAGTTTCGCAGCATATCTTTGAAAAATGTAAAGGGGTGCCTCCGCAACTGCTAACTTAATGACTGTGTTGCTCCTGCCTCTACGCTGCAGTTACAACTCATTTGCAAAAGATAGACATCAGCGTGCGGAATTATGATTAGGTATTGAACATATGCTTAAAACTGTAGACTTGTCCGAAAGATATCTGATAAAATATCTTGGACAAATGAATTCTAAGAGATTCTACTGCCATCCGTTTTGTGCAAATTGATGATTTTGTACATTGATAGGCTCCTTCTGTATGAGAAACTGTGCGTAGACATGGTAGAAAGGGCAAAGAATTTTCTTAAGAAAAAGTACAGTCTCTATTCCGGGACAGAAATTCTTTAAATTTGAAGAAAGAATGGAATACTTTAATAGCTAGTTGTAAGTTTGAAACCAGTTTTATTCCAAACAGCCGGTTTAATTTTCTATCAAATTTTCAGAAGTTTTATACATGAGGACATTAATCCTCAACAAATTCTGCATAAAGTTTTTTAAAAATTGTACAAGATTTTTTTTCAGCTAGTCATAATTTCTTTTTAGTACGAAACTCCTGTTTTTTTACGTACAAAAAGCAAGATGACTATGAGTTTTTAGTTGAATAAAATAGAATAGAAATAAAATAGCTTGCCACGGAAGTCTTGTTCAGAAATTATTGTATTGCATTGTAGATTATTTAACGTTAGTTTTTACAATAGTGAATATACACTTATTAAGACTAACATGAAGCAATTTCAAGGATTGCATAAGACATTTACTGCAAAACGAGCATGCGCACTTGTTTGCAAGTTTTGATCAAATTCTTAAATTGTCTAGTATTTTGTGCTGTCTTTATTGATTCTGGGAGTGAATTCCAGATTTTAGGACCTTGAAAACTTAATGATCTGATACCATTATAGGTAGTTCTGGCTTTTGGAATGTCAAAGGGGTTTTTGAGTCGAAGGTTGTGACCTGTTGTTTTGGGTAAAAATAGTCTTTCATGAAAACAGGATTAAGTTTTTTTAAATGTTTTATAAACTTCGAGCGCTAAAATTCTAACTGATTGGGCATGTGTAGTAGTTTCTTTTGAGTTAGCAAGTAAATCTTTGTACGAAGATGAATAGTTCGAATAGGCTAGTCTTAAAGCCCTCCCGTTAATTTTCCTTTACCACATAGCATCCATATCAATGGACAATAATTGAAGTGACATAGTATAAACGAATTCATAATTATCTTTTTTTCTCTGTCACCCATAAATCTTGCCAATCTTTTCGAAGAATTTAACTGCCTAGCTGCTTTTTTACAGATCTTATCCATATGAGCATCAAGCTTTAAATTTTCATCGATCTGAACACCGAGCAAAGTAACGTTTTTCTCTATTTTAATTGCAAATTTTAGGTCAATTTTAAACCCATTTATGCATTTATCTTTGCTGCCGATTGTGATAGCTTGAAATTGAGAGAGATTTGCAATCAATTCATTAGATTTAAACCAATCAAGGCATTTTTGGTGATAATTTTTACAAGTTGCAATAGTTCATCAGTATTTGTTGCAGTGACAGATATCGTGTTGTCATCAGCAAAATTACATAAAGACCCTTCAGTAAGGCTGTAAAAAATATCATTTAGGAAAATATTGAAAAGTAGAGGTCCAAGTATTGGTCCCTGTGGCACTCTTTGTCCAAGTTCACCCCAGGAGCTGTAATGACCTTTAACTTTGACTATTAGACAGGTAGTTTTGTATAAGTGAAAGAGAATTTCTATCTATACCATAGGCATGTAGTTTTGCTAAAAGTAGGTTTTTTGGTAGACAGTCAAAGGCTTTTGACAAATCCATAAGGACAGCGCCAATATGTTTGTTCCTTTCCAGTTCTGTTTTCTAGACTTCAATAAGTCTAAAAAGAGCGTGCTTGGAAGAAAACTGTTTTCTATATGCGCATAGAAATTTCGAAAATTTTTCTTCGAGAAATGGAGAAAGTTGAAGCTCTATTGCTTTTCCAAATACTTTTGAGAGTGTCGTTAGTAGACGTATTGGTCGATAATTTTCCTTATTGAAAGAATCTTATTTCTTATAGACAGGTGAGACTATAGCCTTTTTTAAGAAGTTTGGAAAAGTTCCTTGAAAAATGCATTTATTTCTGATGTTCAAGAGGGGTTGTAGGATGATATCAACTGAGATCTTTAGGAATTTTGCATTTATCATGTCGTGCCCGTGTGCCTTTTTGTGATTTAGCTTCACAATTATTTGTCTTGGGCTTTCTTTGGTGATCGGTTTAAAGCTTAAGGTTGAGTTATTTGTTAGGAAGTTGTTGATTGTATTTATGCTTGAATGCTCTTTAAAGTATCTTATTATTAGTTATTGTTGAATTCTCAGTCAGATCTTTGTGGATTGAATTTGTAGTTTGACCAATGCCAACGGAATGGGTATTCAGAATCTCAGAAACTGACTGTGGATCACTAATAAGACAATCATGCTCAGAAGCTATTATTCTTTTATTAGTATTATTCTCTATCATACCTAGAGCAGTTTTCACTATCAAGGGATAGCTGATGGCCAAAATAAAAAGGACTATTATTCAAGAGAGATAACACAAGGAATGTGCACATACTACGCAATCAAAAATCGGCAAAATTTGAAAAATCCCCCTCTCCCTAAACAACTATTTCAACAAACTTCAACAAAGAGCCATAATAAACGTAATAGCCATAACATTTGTGTGAGTCCCCCCTCTCCTCCCCATCTTTGATTACGTAATATATGAACGTTCCCATACCCAATATTCCTCCCATACCCAACACATCGATAATTTTATCCAGTTACAACCATTGTGATTGGAAGGAGCACAGGGTAGTGCTCAGTTAATTTTTCCAAAGTGTGAGCCCTCGGTTACTGGATATCAGGCACTAGGAAAAATTTGCATTAGTCCTGAGTCAAAAAAATAATATGGTTAGTCGTAAGTCATTGGTTTCACAAAATTATTAGTCATTAGTCAGTTGACAAGCAGTCTGCTAGTTAGCTAATGAAATCCCTTACTACCCCCTCAACAGATATCGAATTAATGTATGGCGTACTTGCTTAAAAAAATACAAGCTAATCAGGTTTTTAGTGAAAGTAGGCTCTGACTGCTACCACATTTACTGCTGTCAATAAAACAAAATATGAACAATTTTTTGGCGCTACCAAATTTGAAAATTGCTTTAAAAAGGCAAACAATTTAACTATACTAAAAACTTCTGAACCTCTTCAGAGTATAGAATGTCAGAATTAGGGTCTGAAAGAGCAAGATGGAGAATAAATACCCATTTGTGGATCGAATTTTCCATCTTGTTCTTTTGAGCCATTTGAAGCTAAACTTTTTAGGCAAACGTACTTTGAATAGGAGGTCAATTGATGAATGTGATCAATTTTAGTTCTGTGCAAGATTATTTGCCTTTTTCAAGTTTTTGAAAAAAATAACTTGGGCAGAGGGCGCACCGGGAAATTTCCCGGTGTCCCGGTGGGCCAGTCCGCTTCTGGTATTACCTTTGTATTGTGTAAATTGTGAAAGAAGTATGATAACTGCCTAGACATTCTACAAAATAAATGCAGCAAATTAAGTTTTCTCACATGGTCACAGACAGTTCTGTTGAAGAATTAAACAGAGCAGGGGTCAGGACTCCAAAGAGGTCTGACTTCCAGGACCCACCTTGCAGTTGCAAGCTTAATACTGAATCTATTCTACAATGATTGCTAAAAAGCTTACGATTAAGAATAATTGTTTACTGCTGGAGGTAAAGCACATATTATTTGGTACATGTTTTATCCTCACTCAATTCTATGCAGAATAATGTTGTTATTTTTTCATTTTGGATTCTGCCGCCATGATTAAGAAATCCTATATGAACTCGTTGAAAATAAAAATTGTTTACCCACACGAAAAAATGTTTACATTCTTCGAAATTGTGTCTTCACAACTACGAAATGTTGTTTATAACGCAAGTCTTTCGTGTCAAAATTCTCACAGTCTGTTAATTTGTCTCAGCGAGCTTTTCTTTGAGATTCAAATGAACTTCAAAACTTTAGACTGCCCTGTTAATCTTTGCTAAATTGTTTTTCCTAATCTTTATCCTCTAAGCAAAATATTTTGCAAGCAAGTTTTCATGCGCTGTTTTTTACCTTTGCTAAAAAAAGGTTTAAGCATTTTTATGCAATTCATGCAGTCACAAAAATCCATAAAAAATAAAGGACTTCGGAAGCATTTTAAATTTTTAGGAACGCTGTGCCTCAGAAAATGGGACTGTTTCCAAAAGAGGTCACTTGGAAGAAAATGTTGAAGAGTTCCCTGCTAGAATTTTAAAAATTCAAACTTAGCTGGATCCAAACCAATCATAGATCGTTAATTTTTTTCATCATATCTCTATTTGTCCATTTGCAATCGTATGCAATTAAAACCCTATATTT